AGCCCCTCTTTTCCCATACCGTACCAACCCCCCATGGCACCATGCCACATGCCACATTCATTCATACGGATGAGTGGGCGGCCGATGTCGAGCTGCGGTACTTTGCTGCTGCGGCTGCTGCTGCTGCTGCCATAGCCTACGGTTGTAGGCCAGCGGTCAACGACCGGCAGCCGCAACAGCCACAGCGGCAACGAAAAAAAAAAAAGTAGCAGTCGCCGCAGCAGCAGCAGCAACAGCAGCAGATCGGGCTCCAACCAGTTGAACGACCCACTGAACCAACTTGTCATTTGACCATGTCGCTGAGCTGCTGCACCGCCACCGCCGCCACAGCCGCCACCGCCGCCACTGATTGCATGGCTCCAGCGGCTGAGCCTCAGTACCAATCCCTCTAAGGCGCTCCTCTCTCAGAGATGTCCTGGGATGGGGATTCAGTCGTAATTAGCTTGCCTTTGGCAGCGGCACCTGTGGCCATTATCGTTATGAGCTGAGCCCTCTCCGAGCCCAGCCTATTGGCATTTCTGTAATTTGTCAGTGCCCTGCCAGCCTGCCAGCCTGCCCCATGCAGCAAGGAGTCTCGCCTGGAGTCCGTACGTAGCATACCTCTTGGCGTTCAAGCGAGGCTGAGCTCTGCGGCTCCAAGCCACTGCCCTTTGCAGGCTCTGCGAGAGTGGGAAAGCTTTTGGGGGAAAGTATCTTTAGAAATCGGAACTGAAACCATAATGCAACGCGAGCTGCAAATCGGACTGAGAGTCGTGTCTGCCTGCCACTTGGGACGCCGTTCCTTCCCGCCGAGTGCCGCCGAGTGGCTTGCCCCAATGCCAATTTTCCACATTTCACAAAGAAGTTGCAGATGCGGCGTGCTGCCCGCTGTCCCCAGTTTTGTGGCAATTAAATTTGGCCTCAAAAAAGCAGCGTGGCAGCAATCGTGGCCCGTGGCCTTAGTTCTTGGGGGCCAAGTGAAAAGCTGGACTGGCTTCCCACTCTCCCAGTCACAGCGGCGGGGTCAAGCGGCAATAAAATTCCGCCTGGGGTCAGTGGAGTCCATGCATTTCATGCAACATTGTTGATGGCAGCACAGCAGCAACAGCAACAGTCCCAGGGCCATACCCAAGAATTGGGGGTTCCCGCGGAACGTGGCACGACGGAACGGCGGAACGGGTTGCCAAATGTATCAATTACTGCGCCACTTTGCCGCACCGATCGGCACGCGGCCAGCCAGAGATGCGTGCGTGACCCACAGACGCACCTGACAGGGCTGTGGCAGGGAGCTGATGGTGTTGCTTGCATCTGCAGACGGATGCAGTCACGTGGGGCTACCCACACGCACCAGCAGCAACACCCACCACCCACCACCCCAATTCTGTTCAGTCTGCGACTGCTGCTGCTGCAGCTGCTGCTGCTGTCGCGACTGCATTTGCATGCGGGGCATGAATCGAGCTGAATCGCAATTGCATGCTGATGCTGATTAGCATGCAACGACCGTCGACAGTCGACTGTCGTTTGATGTTTGTCACTTTATATAATGCGACGCATTTGTCAACGCCAGCAGCAGCAGCAGCAGCGGGCAGCAGGCAGCAGAGACAGACAGACAGACAGCAGCAGCTGGCAGCGGGCAGCAGGGGTTGTGTGCTTCCCCGTAGTTCAGGGCTGGCTCTACTCTCGATCTACTCTCCCCACATTCGTCTTTGGGGGTTGGCTTGGAGCACACCCTTGCCTCAGTCCGCCTGTCTGTCTGTCTGTCTCTCTCTCTCTCTGAGTTATTCCAAGCGTCTGCCCCCCATTTAAATTGAATTGAAATTTGTCGCCGCAATTGAATTGCCAATTGCCAATCGGTGACATTGTAATTGCTCAAGCGCAATTCATGCAAATGGCAAAAAATGAGAAAAAATAAGAAAAAATAAGAAAAAATGGAAAAATGGAAATAAATGTGATCGAGATGAGATGCGTTAATCTCACCCCCTGATTAGTCCCCCTAGAACACCAGCAAATACACGCCTCCGCCCACAAAGCGCGCACCCCAAGACGGAGCGGAGCGTGTTCAATGCGAGTCCGTGGAGCGTTACACAATCAGAATCAGAATCGGAATCGCTGAGTTTCATTGAGCTTGTCAGCCAGCCGCGTAGATAGATAGATAGATAGATCGATCGATCGATCGATCGATCCTGGCACTGGCACTGGGAATGGCACTGGCACTGGCATTATCCAATGCCTAGTCCAAGGCCCGTTTCATATTCACAATTTCGAAATTATCATATTATCATATTATTACTTAAGCCAAGCTACAGCCATGCCATATGCGAGTGCGTAGATCGATGGATGCGCGATTTTCCCCCGGGTTTCCCTTTGTTTTCCAGCTCAATTTTTGATCATGATTCGAGTCTTCTATTGCCTGTGGCTCTGTGGCTCTGTGTCTGTGCTGCCCTTGCCCTCGTCGGCCCTCGACTGACCTTCGGATGTGTGTTTATTTTCAAACTGGCCCAGTAGGAAATATTCATAAATTTTTCTGTTGTGCCCACAATGACGCTACAACCTTGGGGGAATTTTTCATTTTCATTTCTCGTTGTAAGACTCAGATCTCAGATGTCAGAGAAGATCTCCAAGAACTTCCAGCTCGTGCTGCGGCCAATGGCGGGACGGGGGATCTCTCATGAGAGATCAATGAACGCTTTCAATAGGAAATCGAAATTGAAATCGAAATCTAAAAACGAAATTAAATCACAGCTCTCCGGTCTCCGGTCTCTGGTCTCTGTTTGCCATCCATTGCTGCTCGTATTTTGGTTTCTGTTTTAAGTTTCTGTCTCTGCTATTTATCAGTATAAATGCCACGATTAGTGGGGGGGCTGCCGCTGCTGCTGCTGCTGGTTATTAGTTCCAGTTCGATTCAGTTTCGATTCCATTCAGTTCCATTCAGCTCGATCCGATCTCGGCATCCACGCGATACGTTGACCCAAGCGATGCAGAACCTTGGAATTAGCATAAAACGTTGCTGCTCCACATAAGTTGGACCCAGCTACGAGTGCTCTCCTCCGGCTATTCTGATTGGCTGCGGACTGGGACTATTCCGTGGTACGATCTGCTTTGGTTTTCCCAGCATCACCATCAGTATCAGCATCTGCATCTGCCTCTGCATCGATCAGTGGCTGAGACGCTGGCAATGGCTTAAACCCTGGACCCTGGCCAAGATCCGTGCACCGGACGGGGCTTCCCCTGCTCAGAAATCCCCGCCAGCAAACATATCGAAAGGCATTGATCGCGAGTCATTCAAGTATTCTTTGCGATGACTTCATTAAGGCGCTCAAACGCAATCCCCCAACGTTGCCACAGAGGTGCGTCGCGTATCTTTCAGATAGCCATAGCCATAGCCATAGCCATAGCCATAGCCATAGCCATAGCCATAGCCATAGCCTCCCCCCACACACTACTGTTTGTATCTGTCTGTGTGTGTGTGCCCTGGGCAGGTGTCGAAACAATGTGTGGAGCGCAACTTAATTAGAATGTTGCCACATTTGTAGAGCCAGCAACAGCAACAGCAACAGCAACAAAAATCTCTCAAATAAAAATGTCAGAACAAGTTGAGGAGGCAATTTGTCAACCGGCAACCGGCTGCCTAGACACGCGGCCGGGTCCCCAGCCCCCATCCACCCAGTCACCATCCCCCCCGCTTAACATTCGAAATGCATTTTTTTGCATACACGAGAAATCGAACGAAACCGAGACAGAAACGAAAAACAGAAGCCGCAGCGACACAAAATTTCCGCAAGCTCTCAGTTTTTGATTTTGATTTTGGACCAGGGGGGGGTGGCTGCCCAGCTCCGACTTGGCCAACTGGGTGGGTCGATGGTGGGGCCTGGTGGGTGTGGTGCGCGTGGTGGGTGCTGGTGTGTCCATGTCCATGGATTCGTTCATGCGCAAGGTTTTTGATCGTCGGGTCGGGTTTTTGCAGCAGCCAGCAGCCAGCAGCTAAAACTGATCTTTGGCCACCCGCTACCCGCGGCAGCAGCCGGTGGGGTGCATTGATCTTAAAATGGCTCAAAAGCCGTTGAACTGCTGGCCACAGACTGCTGCTGCTGCTGCTGCTGCTACTGCTGCTGCTGCTGCACAGGCAGCCGGACCGGCGGCCAGTCTCTGCCTCCGGACAGAACTCGGGCTGCTGCTTAAATGTTGTATGCTAATTCTAGCAGCAGCCCGCCGCCATTAGCTCTAGGCACTCGAGTAGCCTGGCTACAAGCCAAAAGACTCGACCCATTCGTACCCTGCACATTCGCTGGGCTGTGGCCTTGATGTGGCCATGGTGGGAAAGGGAAAGGGGCAGGGGCAACTCTCACTCCTCGCGCCTAGCGCCTCTCATTACTGTGGGTGCTGCTGGTTATGCTCCAGGGTACCCTCTGTGATATTTCTGAGTCTGGGACTAAAAGACATGGGCTGATGCTGCGACTGCGACTGCGGCCGTTGAAATCGAGAATGAAATGAAAATCTGACCAAATGTAAATTCTTTTAATTGTATTGCTGCTGCTGCTGCTGCTGTTGCTGCTGCTGTTGCTGTTCTTTGATTCTGGCAGCTACTGGAATCCACTGGCACGTTCTTTTGGCTGTGGCTCCGACTGTGACTGTGACTGTGACACTCTGACTGGCTGATATTGCCTATTGCCTACTGCCTATTGCCTACTGCCTATTGCCTATTGCTATTGCGCCGTTGGATGGGGTTAACTGAACTCTCGCTCGCTTGGTCTATGAAAGATGTCAAGGTATCTGTAAAATTTGTATTTGATTTCGTACGCCAATCACATCCACTCTGTGCAAACAAAACGAGCGCCAACAGAGTGCCCGCCACAGAGTGTCGCTGCTCGAACACACACAGAACACAGAACACAAAACACAAAACACAACACACAAATCACAAAGCAAACCCAAGCGACTAATTAGGCAGTTGGACACCCCAACGTACATATTGTACATACATATACACATATACACACATATACATATATACTACTATTTACTATTGTCTGATGAAGGCGCAGTAGATGGAGATGCAGAGGAACCGATCTGTTGCAGGAGCAGAAGCTTTACAGGGGAAAGTGTTTCGGGTGGGTCTCAGCTCAGGCTCAGGCTCAGGCTTTGGTATAACTGCTCTGCTTTGGACGGCGGCGAACTTTACACGCTTTTTTTTTTTTTTCTTTTTTTTCTTTTTTTTTTCTGCGAGCGGTGTCTTCTTATATGATTCACTGTCTTGCACTATTTTGCACAGCTCGGCAAATTCCACTACTTAACTTCTGTCGCTATGCAATGACTGCCCCCTTCCCCCCCACCCAGCTGCACTGTCAGTGGGGGGGGGGAATGGGGGAATTCGAGTGGCAAGCCGAAACCAAAGCCGCTGCACAGCTGGTGAAAGGGCACACTCCGGAATGAGAATGAGAATGAGTCTTGTGGCTCTGGTTCTGGCTCTGGTTCGGGTTCTGGTTCGGGTTCTGGCAATCAACCTTGGACTATGCGACCCCAAGCCCAAGATGCTCCATTAATGGCGCAAAATGTTCGAGCGTAGCAAAAATTTTTGGATAGCTTGGAATTACCATTCCGCTTCGCTGTGCCATTTACTGAGCTATCATAGCTCGCAATACTAGAAGCGGGCAAAATCAGCAACGGCAATGGCAACGGCAAGGGGCACCAAAAAAAAAAAAAAAGGCAGGCGGGCAATCAAACACACATGCACACGAGATGTTTACACTCGCCGTATAAAACATCAACAGCGGAGCGCAGCGTGAAAATTGGGTTAAAAAATAAAGCATGCAAACTACCTTGACACATTTTCCCGGAGCGGAGTGCTGTGGAGTGGTCATTGGATGGCATGGCATGGCATGGCATGGCATGGCTTGGCTTGGGGCTGGACGGGCGTTGAACGCTTTCGAAATACACACAGCAAACAAAGCAAACAGCAGCACTGATGGCGCGTGGTGGGGGTGGGGGTGGGGGTGGGGGAGGTGAAGCAGGAACAAAGCCAGCGTTGGCGGAGCTGTAGCTGTAGCTGGAGCTGGAGGTGTGGCCTGGCCCATCTATCTATCTGCCATTCAGAGAATCTCGCGTCCCCCTTCGGTATCAATAATTCTGTTGCAATTGTAATAAAAATAAATTTACGAAATATATTCCCATGTATGTGTGTGTGTGTGTGTGTGTGTGTGTCTCTCTGTTTGAAAATGATAAGAGAACGCGAATGCTACGCCACGTGAGCTGTAGGGTCCCCACCATACCCATACCCATACCCATACCCATAGCTGTCCCCGATTTTGATTTTTGATTTTTGACTTTGATTTCAATTTCTATTTCCAATACAATTCAAAATTTCGTGTGCAATCCGCTGATTAGATGCAAAATATTATCTTAGTGTGCGGGGAGTGTGGGGAGGAGCTGCGTCTTGTCCACTGCCACTCCAACTCCCACTCCCACTCCCTTCTCCCATGCTCATTGCCAATCTTCTAGAACCATCCTCGTGAGCCAGGCCACCGGGGTTTATTGACCAGACGCGATCGCACCGCACTTGGCCAACCATCAGCCAGGCCAACGATTACGAAAAGGTTTAAAAATAAGTCAGGGGAGGGGCCCAGTGGCAGTTGCAGTTGCAGTGGCAGTGGCAGTGGCAGGGGAGGGGGCAGCCCTGCATAGGCGGCCTGGCCTGGCCTGTTGACAGCCAGCATCCGCTTGACGCTCGTTGCTCGTAGCTCGTCGCTCGTGGCTCAGGTTCATGTCCTTTCGATAGGATATTGCCCCGGGCAGGCCTGGGCCAATGATCTTGTCGTTTGTTGAACCCGCTGCCTGAGCCCTCAGGAGCTGTCGAGCATTGTCGGACCGGACCCATGCGTCTAGATGGGATGCGAGAGGAAGGACAGGGACAGGGACAGGGACAGGACAGGACAGGGACAGGACAGGCTACAACTGGACAGGCAACAATAAAAAGGTTCGGCGACTGCCGCATTCACATTTCGCACTCGCACCCTGCAAAGTGCTGCCCCCGCTGCCCCCGCTGCCCTGCTGCTGCCTCCAATCTGCTCTGAAGCCCTTTGGAAACCCGCTCGTGCAGCGGCAGTTGCAGTTGCGGTTCATTGGCAGATCAGACTGTTGTTGGGGCTGTTGCCACTGCCACTGACGGCGGGTCATTAAAATAACTAAAGGTAAAGGTAAAGCTAAAGGTAAATGTAAAGTTAATGCTGAAGCTGAAGCTGGAAAGTCGTTGCCATGGCGGTCGTACATCTTGTTGCTGCTGCCGGTCCTTTGTGCCGGTCGCATGGCGCGAGGAGTCAATGGCCTGCGGTTCTATTTTAGCGCATGCCATTGGCCCTGAACTTGTTTGGCTGGGCCCGCAGTCCAGGCCCAGTCCATCTACTCCCATCCGCCATCGCCCATTGTTGCTCTACGCTCTGACATGACTCAGTTCTGAGTTCTGGATTCTGGAAATCCCTGCCGCCCAAAGGGGCAACCCAAAGGGGGATCGTCGCCTTGCATTCCGCAACAGTACAAATTCCTCGCTCAGCTCGCTTGCTCTCGAATTTTCGCAGGGAAAATCCCCGCCCTGACATTGAGCCAAGAAACAGAATAACTTCCAGAAGGAAACCCTTGAGACATCTCTTTGAGGGCATCCCTGTATCGCCGTGTCTCTGTGCCGCTGTGGGCATGGCCAAGTATTCCGATGCCCTTGGAGTTCTCACTTGGGCCCAGAGAAAAGCTCGTCAAATATTCAACAGCAACAAGAAATTAACCAAACCCAAAAAAAAAAAAAAAAAAAAAAACCTGCAAATTTCGCAGAAATAGGCGACGAAATGGAAAGGCAGCGGAACAGGCAGCCAATTGAATAAATGTATCTTTCCAAATCGAAACGGCCTTAATATGCATAGGTAGACATACATACATACATGTGTACCATCTGTCTGTCTGTCTGTGTGTCCCATCTACATGCATGTTTTCATGAGGACTAGGGGGAAACCCGATGCCGATCTACCCGACCGAGCTCAGCTTAGGTAATGGCGGGAGCGGTTTTTTTTTTGGTTTTGGGCTCGACCAGAAGGGCTATGGAATACCTTACCGTTTGCCAGCTCTCGGGCTAAGCCCAGCCTGAGCGTTGATCACTTGCCAAAGTCGCCATAGTCCCCTTCCCGATTACGATTCAGCGTCTGTCTGCGTGGCATCTGGCTCGGGTGTAATCTATGTGCATCTGATTTTCGCCAGTGGCGGGCGGGCGGGCGGTCGGTACAGCATTGATTTTATTTTCAAATTTTTGTGCTGTGTTTCGCGCCCTGGAAGATGCCGCCGCACCGTACCTCCTATCGCTCGCTCTGCCTATCCTATCCCGCAGCGAACCCGAACCATAGGCTCTGCCCTGCCCTGCCCTGCCCTGCTCTGGGCTGTTTTTATTCTCTGATATATTTTGCTGATGTTGCTGGCCTTCGCTGGTTCCTTCGCTCCGTTTCCTCTGTGCCTCTGTTTCCTCCTCTGTTCCTCTGTGTTTTTCTTCGGTTCCTCGTTGCTGACGCAGACGCAGACGCAGACGTTGACGACGTTGACGACGTTGACGACGTTGACGACGGGCCCTGTTTGCATTTCTGGCCGAGACTCGTTTCAAATTCTAAAGAAATTCCAGTAATTGAAGAGCATTGCTGGCGACTGGACGTTTCGTTTCCTCTGGCAGGCAAGTGAAAGCAAAAGTGACACCACAATGCCGGACTTTGACTGGCTACCCCTGTCGGGACACAGTCTGGGCCTGCTGCTGGTGCCCGGGCTGCTCATCCTCATTATCCTCTGGCTGTGCGATCACCAGTACGACAAAGTGCTGGGTCGTCCGCCCCCAGGGCCCTGGGGTCTGCCCTTTGTGGGCTACCTGCCCTTCCTGGACCGCCGAGCGCCCCACAAATCGCTGCAGGCCCTGGCCCGCCGCTACGGCGGCATCTATCAGCTGCGCATGGGCAGCGTCAAGGCGGTGATTCTCTCCGACGTGGCCCTGGTGCGCGAGTTCTTCCGGCACGAGGTGATGTCGGCTCGGGCGCCGCTCTACCTCACACACGGCATCATGGGCGGCTATGGTAAGGATAACGTCCGCCTTGGACCCTCTGACCAACTCACTGACTTGACTCTGTTGCTGTTGCTGTTGTCCCAGGCATCATCTGCGCCGCGGGCCCCATTTGGAAGCATCAGCGTCGCGAGGTAATCGACTGGCTGAAGGCTTTGGGCATGACGCGGCGACCGGGCGAGACGCGTAGCCGTCTGGAGCAGCGCATCGGCAGGGGCGTGGACGAGTGTGTGCAGGTGAGTGACTAAGTCCAGGTACAGGCCCAGATCCTGCGCAGCATCATCATCGGAATGGGAAGGGCATTCGAGTGGGATCGATGGCTGGATCTGGCTTTGGCTCTGGCTCTGGCTCTGCCTCTGGCTCTGCCTCTGCCTCTGGTCTCGATTATTCACTTTCTGCTTGCTCTTCCTTTCGCTTTCTGCCTCTGTACCCCTCTGTCTCCACCCAAAAGCTGTACGAGACGGATGCTGCTCTCAGTCCCTCGTCGCAGTTGGACCCCGTGCCCGCGCTCCAGCACACGCTGGGGAACATCATCAACGATCTGGTCTTTGGCGTCACCTACGAGCGGCAGGACCCCGACTGGCTGTACCTGCAGCGACTGCAGGAGGAGGGCGTCAAGCTGATCGGCGTCTCGGGCGTGGTCAACTTCCTGCCCTGGCTGCGACGCCTGCCGTGGAACGAGCGCAACATTTGCTTCCTGCTGGAGGGCAAGGCCAAGACGCACGCCCTCTACGACCGCATTGTGGAGAGGTGCGCGCAGCGGCTGAAGGAGCTGCAGGCGCAGTACCAGGAGAAGCAGCAGCAGCAGCAGCAGGACCCACAGCAGGATCCAGAGCCCGAGTCGGACCAATTTCTGGAGGAGAACTCCGAGCAAGAGGCAGCAGCACAAGAGATGGCGCACGAGCAGGTCCCAGAACAGGCAGAAGATGCTCTTGATCCAGCGCTGGAAAGGGCAGAGCTGAACCCAGTGGATGCCGAGCATGATCCGGAGCAAGGACCTGAGCAAGAGGCGGAGGCGGAGGAGGAAGACGACGGCGACGACGATGACGTGTACGAACCTACCTGTATCCTGGAGCATTTTCTCATCAACCGAGTGCCCCACTCCGAGCTGTACTGCGACGAGCAGCTGCGCCATCTGCTCGCCGACCTCTTTGGCGCCGGCGTGGACACCTCTCTCGCCACGCTCCGCTGGTTCCTGCTGTACATGGCCCGCGAGCAGCGCTGCCAGCAGCGCCTGCACGAGTTGCTGCTCCCCCTTAGTGGCGCGCCCACACTGGAGGAGCTGCAGGAGCTGGCCTACCTGCGAGCCTGCCTGTCGGAGGTGCAGCGCATCCGCAGCGTCGTGCCGCTGGGCATTCCACACGGGGCCGAGCGGGACTTCACCGTGGGCAAGTACCGCATTGCGGCCGGCAGCATGATCGTCTCCCTGCAGTGGGCCATTCACATGGACCCGGAGTGGTGGCCGGAGCCGGAGCAGTTCCGCCCGGAGCGCTTCCTCAACGACGAGGGACACTACTCGGCGCCGCCCCAGTTCATACCCTTCCAGACCGGCAAGCGCATGTGTCCCGGCGATGAGCTGGCCCGCATGATGCTCACCCTATTCGCTGGGCGCATCCTGAGACGCTTTCACGTGCAACTGGCCCCCGGCACCGCTGCACCGGACATGGAGGGCGAGTCTGGCATTACCTTGGCACCCGCTCCCTACGAGCTGCGCTTCACGAAGCTGCCGCTGCACGTGGAGCAGCCCCTGGTGCAGGACTCGATCGAGTAGCGTCTCCTCTATGTCCTTTTTATTCGTATATATATCCTTGTAATTTTTTTTTTTTTGTTTCCTGTACTTATGTAGTATCCCTTGAGAAATATATTTGCTGATTGGTGTATTTAATTTTTGATGTGCGGCTGCTCTAAGCGGGTGATTTTCTCGGGCTATTAAAGCAAATAAAAAATTTATTATTATTTTCCGACGTTTCCAGCTGAATTGCATAGAAGTCTGTAGAAGTCTTGAGAATTTATGTGAAAAACTGCATGGAAAGTTTCTTCTCAGAGAGGAAAAACCCAACAAAAAAAAAATGGGATAATGGACCAGGATTTATAAAGAACTTTTGTGCAGAAATGAATTTCAAAGTATTGTTTTCCCATACAAAGTGTAAACATAATCATGTATGCTATTGAATAAAATTTTACAATTTGCACATTTTTTATATCAGTATGCGGAGAGTTTAGGGGGGTACTAGATTTGTGGTCAAAACCCACAGAAGGAAACATTAATCGATCAGCATCAATAGCCGAGTCGATATAGCCATGTCTGTCTGTCCGTCCGTCTTGTTCGTCGCCTAGTTCGCACAGACCAAAAGAGCTATGGCAACCAAACGTAAGCTAACAAAATAGATTTAAATTCCAAATAAATCATAAGCTCACTTATGTACTGACTGAGTAGAGTCGCGGCCACTGCAGCGACTCACAGCGCTCCTGCCTGGCTTAATATGAGTTTTGACATTGCAGTCTACGTTTCGTTGAAATTTCGCGGCATTTTTGCTCATTTCCAAGCATTTTCCCCATCAATTTACAAGCTGTGTAGGGCACCCATGGAAGGGTTCAGCATCGATTAATGGCTCCTTTTTTTGGGGCAGGTTATCTGCAATCTGTTATTCAACCTTCTGTCTGTCTTTTCAGATATTTTATTTAATGATTTACACTCCCAAAAACCCTCGAATAAAGAGTAGCACTTTAAATATGTTTTGTAGAATAATTTTATTTATTTTCGAATTGTTTGCCTATTTTGTTGTGTGCTTGTAAGACTAAACCACAGTTTGTTTTGTTGTTTGGACATTAAGCTACGACTAATACTATGAAATAAACAAGAACCTTAGCTAACTCTCGCAATGGCCTGCTGGACGACAGCAAAGCAATTAGCAATTAGCTTACAAATAATAATAATAATATTATTAATAATAATAATAATAATAAAAAAACATTAACGATAGCGGATCGTAACTACGGTAATCATTAGGGGGTAGAATTAAAATTAGTTGAACACAGCTTCTTGGGGGTGAAAGAATAGAATTGGTTGCAGTCGTCGATCTGATCAGCATCAGCATCATCAGCATCAGCATCAGGGCTCTTCGCGCCTTCCTTCTGCTTGGAGTGCACGCGAGTGTCCTTCGAGTGGCTGTCTTGCCTGCCACGCCACACACATGGGAGCTGGCTGGCTGGTCACTCTTGTAGACGGATTACTAACTAATGTACGGGCTAATTTATACGGCAATATACGTAGTCATCGTGGGAAGCGGCTTAGCGTGCTTCTTGTGATTGGCATTTTGCTTTTGCTTTTGTGTTTTGTGGTTTTTTTGTGTGTGTGTGTTTTTTTTTTGTAGGAACAAAACCGTGCTCTGCACTCTGGGCCGATTGGGACCGATCCAGACCGTCCGATCAATCCCCTCAATTGGCGCCTACGTTGCGCATGTGATGGGGATCGGTGGCAGTGGGTGCCAGGGGGCGACGCTTGAGGCACACTTTGAAGGCCTCCGGCGTAATGGTGGCGCCCACATTGCCCTTGAGACTGGGCAGCGGCTGGCCCTCGGGCAGGGCAATGTCAAAGCAGTGCATGAACGAGGCGAAAAACAGAAAGAGCTCCATCTTGGCCAGCACATCGCCCAGGCACATGCGCCGTCCGACCCCGAACGGTATGAAGTATTCGGGCTTGCGCACCTTGCCCTCTGTGTCGACGAAACGCGAGGGGCGGAACTCCTCGGGCTTCTCCCACAGATTGGGATCCATGTGGACGCTGTTGATCAAAGGAATGACATGGGAGCCGGCCGGTATGGTGTAGCCATTGAGTTCGACATCTCTGTAAGGCGAATCAAGCAGAAGAGGGGAAAAGGAGATTGTGATTAGTAGGAGCGTGCCACAACTGCCTTATCAGCAAGCCACACGCGAGCTTTGAGATACGAGCTGCGAGTAGGGGGCTGGTGGCTGGTGGCTGGGGGCTGGACTGCTGCTGCTGAGCCTGCACTCGGCTAATCTGCTAAGTGCCAAGTGCGTGGCCAGAAACTGGGCCACTGCGCCACTGCGCCACTACGTTGGGCGTTGAGGTGGTAGGTGGGTGGGGGGGGGGGACAATGAAAATTCCGCATTGAATGAAAAGCCACGACAATGAATGGCAATCGCATGGCAATAGATCAGAGATTTTGGTGTGAATGAACGGTGGCCGGTCGCGTAAGTGCGTAAGCATTTCCCAAGGGGGACAAAATGACAATTGGGGTATTGGGTATTGGGTATTGAATGCTGCTAGGGGAAGTGGGGGAGTCTCTCTCTGTCTCTCTGTCTCTCTGGTACTCTTGTACTCTAACTTACCTTGTGGGTGAGTGCGTTGTGGCCAATGGAACGATGCTGGAGCGACGCATCGACTCGAGGATGGTGGACTCGGTCACTGGCAGATACTGCAGATCCTCGATGGTGGGCAGGCGATGACGTCCGACCACCTGGTCGAGCTCGTCCTGGACACGACGCATCTCCTTGGGATTGCGCAGCATGAACACGTTGATCCAGAGCAGGGTGGTTTTGATGGTCTCCATGCCCGCGGAGAAGAGGTCGATGATCACCTGAACCAGTTGCTCCTCTGCAAGGACATGAACAAGGATATGCGTCAAAGGATGCTCAGGACAGGGCCAGGAGAGGGGCATGCTGAGACAGGGACTCTGGACTGCATCTGGATCGGGATGTGGATGTGGATGTGGTACTCACCGTGATTCTTGCCATCGAACAGCTCCGCATCGGTGCCCTCTGCCTTGGCCTTCTCGATCTCGCACAGATAGTAGTCGACCAGATCGCGAACGTTGTGGGGATCGAAGCTGCGCTTGTGATCATCGATGACGTCCTGGTAGAAGCGCTGCATCTCGGCCCGGTTCTGGGCAATCTTGTTCTTGGCTGTGGAGATGCTGGGGAAGCACTGCATGGTGGGTATGTAGTCCACCGTGTGGATCTCGCCGAACAGTCGCATGCCCTCCTCGATCAGGAAGTTGAAGCGCCTGAACTTGGGATCGTCAATGCTGAACCGCGTGGACATCATCAGGCTGCAGATGACGTTGCTCACGGCCACCGAGATGACGGGCGACAGATCGATCGGCTGGCCATCACTCGCGTGCAGGTGCCCAATGAACTCGTGCACTTCCGTCTAAACGCAAGGGCGAGAATGGGGATCTTTAGAGTGTCTGCCAGGTGGGGCCAGGCGTTGGCCAGGGGGTTGGCAGTCCTGTGCGGGGAGTACACTCACCATAATGCGCTTCTGCATCTGCTGCTTGCCATTGCCCATGTAGGTCATGCCGAACTGCCGCAGCTTGTCGTGCAGAAAGCGACGCTGGTCCTTCCACAGCTTGCCAGTGCTGTTGATGATGCCTGCGCCGAAAAAGAAACGAACAAGGGAGGAAGAGGCGGTGAGAGATTGACTTATGATCGGAGGAGGAGGAACTGCTCTGCTGTGCTGTGCCATGTGTGGGGCTTATCTTTTCGTTTCGTTTCGTTTCGTTTCTTTCCGTTTTTTTTTATTCTTTCTTAATGTCGTATTTTTATTTGTCATTTTAATTGAGGTAGGCTCTTTCTCTCTGCTCTCCGCCACAACTGCCGGGACAGTGGGTGGGACGCAGCGTTGGGAGGGGCAGATGGCTCGTAATGGTTGCCCCACTTTTTGAGAATTGTTTGGTTACAAGTCGAAAAGAAATCCCAGCCGCAGAGCAATATAAAATGCAACACAGAAACAACCAAGCAAAAAAAAAAAAAACTCAATACGAAAAACAAAATTAAACAAAAAACAAAATGAGGAGGGGAGGAGGAATTGAAATCGGAATCGGAATCAACAACGGAAAAATGCTGCAATGCATTATCATGGAATTACACAAAAAACAGAAAAAACAAGAAAAATAAGTGCAGCTTAAGCTGCAAAACGAAAAGGGAGGGAAAGACTCGAAATCGAAATCAAAATAAGAATAAAAATCAACAAAAATTACAAAAATTAAAAACAAAAGCCCGAAGAGAAGAGAAACAAAAATACAAATAAAAAGAAAAAGCTAAAAAAAAAAAAGAAAGAAAATAAACGCACCCAACAAAGAAATGCAAGCGGAATTTCTTTTGGCTAATTAAAAGTATTAAACATTTTTCGTATGATTATTTTATTTTACTTTACAATTCTTCGACTGTTTATCTGTGGCTTGCTGCTGGGGCACTTTCGAGCTTAATTGCAGCTTCACTTTTGGGGCACACAAGGTGCATATCCCCCACCCATATAGTGGTGTGGGGAGGGGGGGGGGGGCCATCTGTAGTCTGTGTTGTATATGCAGTCGTCGTTAAGGTTCAGTTTCGACTGATTATTTTTTTGCTTTCGCGGCAGATTCGACAAATGGGAAACATTTCCACAACACTCGTACGCGTAACACTCGTAAAATACCGCTGGCCAAGCGTAGCAGTGCCAGATAGTGTAGTAAAAAAGAGTGCAACCCCCCGCCCCCCAAGGGTCAGCTGGGGAGGCTCCTGATTAGCGAGGTCTCAGGTCCGAGGTCGTAGGTCCCACCCATTGTCTTTTTTGTTAGACTCACCATAGCCGTTGAGGGTCTGCATGAACGGAGTGTCCGGTCGTCCTGTGAACTCCTCACGCCGGAAGCACTCGCGTATCATCTTGTAGTCGCTCATGACGACGGTCAGCTGGCTGCCCAGGCGGGTGGAGAAGAGCGATCCGTACTGCTTGGCCAGCTCCATGAAGCGTGTGTGCTTCTCATTGCCCATGAAGAGCAGATAGCCGATGACGGGCAGTCCCCATGGGCCGGGTGGCAGCTTGCGCAGCTCGCGATAGTGCCGCAGCAGCCACTGGATCAGGCTGACCAGGGCAAGGAAGCCGAGGAAGACCAGCAACAGGTGCTGGGCTCCGGCGTCCTGCTGCTGGATCTGCAGCTGCCGTAGCAGAAACTTTATCAGATACGAGTCGGCCAGCATCTTGTCGGGCTGGTCTCTGGCTAGGACGACTGGACTGGACGATTTTCACGGTGATCGGTGATCGGTGATCTCGGGATCCTTGGCTGGACGATCTTGGCTTCGATTCGATCGATGTGCGATCTCTCGAGGATTGGCAGTGAGTGGCGGCGGTTAAAGTGTCTCTTATTTGTTGCACTGCTCGGCCATTTGTCACTTTTGATTTTACTTGCGACTTAAGGCACTTTAAAAAAATATTTCTCAAGTATATTGTCTGGGCCAAAAAAAAATTAATTAAATTTTCTTCTTTTTTTTTTCTTTTCTTTTTTGGGGAATCTTTGGAATCGCAATATACGAATTGCTTTGGTGGTGTTGAAAACAAAAAAAAATTTGCTGCGTGCTCGGGGCGCTGGTCGGAGACGGAGACCCGGAGACGATTTCGCGTCGAGCGTTTATAAATTTCGACTAATGGCTCGACCGTATGTCCTTGCCACTTTTATAACAATTCGAGCCCGCTTCGAGCGAGCGGCAGAGCGCCGAACGAATGATCGACGGCGGCGGCGCGGCTCGGTCTCGGGCTCGCTCGCTCGGTCGGGCTCGGGCTCGGGCCCGGGCTCGGCTTCAAACCCCCAAGCGCCTTTGTTGTTTTCGTTGTCCGCGCGGCCGAGATATTGAAATATTGAGGCATGCACAGTCCCTATACCCACCAATATCACCACCGTCGCCGCCGTCGATCGCCGATCCGCTGCTCGCGTCGCTGTCGTCGCTGGCGTCACTGGCTTTGTTGATTGGGATTTTGAGTGGGATTCTTATGTTTTGAGTGGCTTGAACTATTTGTATTGGAACGGAATAGTCATCGCACTCAATTTGAGTGGCACAGCAAAAGAGAGGCGGAATGCTCAGTTTTGCGTTTCATGGAATGACTTCGAGAAAACGAATCGAGCCGAGAGAAAACGAAGCTTGAGCATTGCTTGCTGCTGGCGTCGCTGGCGTCGCTGACAGCGACAGAACTCCAAACTTGAAGAAGCGGCAGCGCGCAGCGGCAACGGCAACGGCAGCGGCAACGGCAAAGACACAGCGGCCACAGAGACAGCAACAGTTGGCGCCTCCCGCTCCAGCTCCGGGCTCCCTCCGCCCCGCTATCCCCGTACCCACCCACCACCACCCGATGCCGTCGCGACATCGCGCTCATGTAAGCCTAAGAGAAGGCTCTCTTCTATTGATGCTGGCTGGCTGGCTGGCTGGCCCCCTTCCTTCCGTCCCATCCACTCGCTGGTCGATTTTGGGCTCTGCAGACGAAGCAGCGCCAACGGTGTTCAACAAGTTTCCAAGCCCAAGCATCGAACCGAACTCAGCACGCAGCCAACATGCTTGAGCCAACATGTTTGAGAGACGACGCGCTACGCATGCTCCGATCTTTTGCCCGCGCTCTTTCCACTCTCACTCTCACTCTCTCTTGGTCTTGCTCTTTCTCTTTCTCTTCCAGCCCATCGCTGACTTATCAATGAAATGAATGAAATGGCTCCACACCGCTACGCTCCGTTTTGCTCCGTTTCGATAAGGCGGAAAAGACTCACTCACTTTCAGCAAAACTCGCACTGCACCTGCTGCTGGCTGGATCTTATCCAACTCAATCCAATCCAATCCGATTTCTGATCTGATCTGATCTGATTTGATTTAGATTGGATTTTGGCGTACAGTGTGGATTTGGCTTCTTTATAAATTGTCGCGGGCCACAAGGCGGAAGCTGCTGCACTCAACTCATCCGCCGAGGAGATTGTCTGCAGCAGCTCATTCATTGTTGTTGAGCTGTTGTCGGAATCGAAACGAAACACACACAGAGTTCCGATGCAAAATTTGCATTTTGGGTCAATAGCAAACGAAGCCTTCATCGAGTTATCTAAGATCTAGAGCGTAGTCGGCGACTCTTTTGCAGTGGTTTCAAAATGGCTTAAAAAAAAAAACTGGGATCCAAAACGCATGTTAGGGCTTAGGATCTGGACTCTGGACTCTGGACTCCTCCCCCCCCTAACACTCATTCAATTAGGGCTGAAGCTGACGTCCAAACGTGAAACTCACAACTCAATTAATGATCGAAAAACAATCGAAATTGAATTTCAAATTAAAATGAATGCATTTGTAATCAGTTCTGCAGAAGTTTCTGCTGCTTTCGATTTCGTTTCGTTTCGTTTGATTTGGATTTTATTTTGTTTTCAGTTCGTTTTCGGGCTTTAATATTCATCTGCTCAATCGGATCAACAGCAAAAGAAACGACCAGAGGCTGCCGGTTCTTTTTGGCTAAAGGACAAGGTCCGACCCTCAAGCATTGACGTCGAATACGGAAAATACGCACAGCACAGCACAGCAGAGCACAGCAGAGCAAGAAGCGGTCCGGTCCACCAGTCAACGATATTTCGAAATTCGAATTTTTGGTACGAATTGCATATGAAAATGTTGTCATTGGATTTGGACAACACAACACAAGACAAGGCAAGGCAAGGCAGGGCAAGAAAAGACCAGCACCATTATCAAAATGAAGTTCGTGAAGCGCGAAGGTCGTGTCTCTCGGGAAGCCCTAGAAATTTCTGTGCCTTTGACCCAATTCTCCTAAAACCCTTGAGAGACGTTGGAGGCGGAGGCAAAGCCAAGATATTGGGCTTGCCTGGCCATCAGTTATCTGACGTAATGCCAACACCTTTAGAGAGTAGAGAGTTAGAGATCGATTTTGTTCCTTGCTGGGAGAGAGAGAGAGCTATGATCCGGTTGAGGCAAAATCCAGAAACAATTCAATAAATATATTTATGCAAATTGCAGCAGATTAGCAGATAACTTATACATATATTTGGATGCGGCCAATGAACTAATTTGCATCTGCTAAAATTGCTAAAATTGCCAGGCATCGGTCATCGGTCATTGGGGGATCAAGCATCATAGCAGCAGTGGGGGAGGGAGGCTGCGACAGGCGATGCCTTGGTGCTTAGTGGCATTCGGAATTTGTTAGAAAAGAAAAGAAAAGAAAAGAAAGAGAAACGCTGGCAGCAATTGGCTCTAAAATTCCGAAATGCCAAATGACACTGGCCAGCTATCAAGGCCAAGACAAAATATGCAGTTCATATTCCATGTGGATGGATATTCCATATTGGGGGGAGCGTGAAGGCGAAGAGCAATGGCAGCTGTACCAGAGATGCGGCAGCAGATTCCGATACTGATACAGGTACAGATATTGATATAGCTATAGATACAGATACAAGCTGACAGTCATTGAACTCGATCTCCAGCTGCAGCCTGGGACACTTCAAGTGGCTCAGGCACAGGCTCAGGCTCAGGCACAGGCCAGGCTCAGGCTCAGGGCAGAACATCAGACGCAGTCGCAGCAGAGCTAAAATATTGCCTAGGAAATCAACAAAAAAAACAAAAACAAAACAAAGCACTTGAAACAGAGAGACAATGGCCCAGGAGGTCAATGACACGCGGCAAACAGGACCTGTCCCGTCCAGCCAGCAGGCAGCGCTCAGCAGAGTAAGGATTAACGATTAACGAACCAGAGGCAGAGAAATGAAAAACGAGAACAGGAAAACTGTTTCTCATATCTCCACTCTCCTCTCTTCCCACTCCTCTCACTCTCCATGGCCTTGAGTGCGGTCATTGCCGCTGTGTTTGACTCCGAAGAAGTTTCCAGGAACTGCTGCCAAAAGGCTAATGACTGCTGCTGCTAGGCTGCTGGGCTGCTGGGCTGCTGGGCTGCTAGGCGAGATGCGTGATCGGAGAGCGGAGTGCGCGATGCGAGAGGCGAAACTCGGTTCAGAGTTGGTTGTTGTTGTTGTTGGTGGAGTTGGAGGCAAGCAACAGGCCACAGGCAACAGGCGGCAAATAGGTTCCATTGGCACTGGGTCTGGCGTCTGGGTCTGGGTCTGGGGCGTACAGTCATGAAATGCCTGGAACCTGGCCCCTGTCAAGGATGCTGCTGCCGCCGCCACGGATATGACTCAGTGAAGAAATATGCATCAAATCAGGAAATCTGAAGACTGCTCCAGTGAGTGCAGATAAAGGGGCGAGCGTTGTGCGTGTGTGCTTCCGTTGCAAGGAATCGTGGGCAATTCCCACTACCTGCCAACGACTGGTTCTTGGCATCGCTAGAGGCGCGTGCACTTCAAGATAATTAAATGTCTGATCATCGTTTGTGGTGCGATTGATAGCAGCAGCAGCAGCAGCATCCACCACACACACACACACACACACACACAGCCGATTGATAACGTGATTTGGTGGCCAGCACTCGACTCCAGCCTCTAAGTACGCACATTGTTTGATTTATTTGCATGCGCATGCATACACACACACATATGTACATATGTACATATATGCATTTATGTGCGTGCTATAAATAAAGTGATTTCACTGCTGTCACTACTGCCCCCCCATGCACACCCCTCGTGACACCTCATTATTCGTATGCCAAATGCTGATTATCTTTCTGTGTGCTGTGTTCCCTACTACTCGACCATGTGTGGCACACTTTTCTGCAATCCAAATGGCAGGGGAATAAGCCTCCTCCTCCTCCTCCTCCGCTGCGCTGCCGCATAGAGTATCCGATATTCGCTTTTGCCAGCCACTCGCTTCTATGCACACACGCGCTGCCTTTTTTTTTTGTTTTCTTTTCTGTGTGTGCTTCTTCCCACTCGTGATGCAATATTTAGAATTGTTTTTGCACAACCCCCCCCCCTCCTCTTCATCCTCCTCCTTGCACGCTGATATAATGCGCGATGTGACCTTGGGGCAGCCGAACAAAGCAGCAACAGCAGCAACAGCAGCGGCAGCAGCGGCAGCATTTCTATACTTAAGCACAAAACGCAATAAATAACACAAAAAATTAGCCACAGGCACAGCCACAGTCACAGCCACAGCACAGCCGAAAAAGCACTCGGAATTGTTGATTGGGATGGAATGGAGATTTGTAGATGTGGGGGATGCGATGGGATGGGATGGGATGGGGAGAATTATCGCCAATAATACCAGCGATACCCCCCCCCACCACATGCCAATGAATTGCAAAGCCCGGCGATGAGTAGTTTCAGTTACCGAAATAACCAAAAAAAAAAAAAAAAAACAATTAGGGGGGGAGGGGACGCTCATTGTGCGCCAATTAATTGCAGGTTCAGGTTGAGGCAGGAATTGTTCTTCAATTGAATGAATACTCGTATTCGCATTCGGTTCGTGGCTGAAGCATTTTTTGGGTGGCATTTTCCGAGTGCTAAAAAGCACAAAAATATATCACAAATATAACCAACATAAAATTGAATGCGCAGCTTAGAGCAGGACCAAAGGACATTTATTTATGTATGCAATGCAAATTGAGAGAGATTATTATTTATTAATTATTATTTTTGGTTTGTGATTTATGATTACCTAAACAAAAAGCAGCTTAACGACACGAGACAACTAAAGCAAACAGGACACACACAGGACACACACAGGACAACTACGAGCAAGTAGCATATTTTATTTACAATCAAAACTTTCCACTCGAATGCTGCAACGTGCCTGCTGCCTGCTGCATGCTGCCTGCTGCATGCTGCATGTCATCCAAAATTAATGCCATTCAAAATTAGAAAAAACCATTAAAATTAAATGAATAATTGATGGCCTGGCTCGGA